CAGTTCCCAAGAACATTCGTCCCTCTCAAACTGGAAAAAACAAACCCTGGCCATGTGCAAGTAAAAGATAATAAAGAATATACCATTTGTTCAAGATAAATAAAAAGGCCAACTCAATGTTTTCTTATGTCTTTAGTCTCTACTATGTGCATAAGTATACAACACAAATCATGCGTCTTTTGTGTGGTGGTTTTGTGTTTTCACTTTGCTATTTCTTCAACTGTAGATTAAAATAAGAAAAATTTGATATCATGCTTGTTGAATTCAATTCATAAAGAATTCTACCCTCCCTAAGCAACATAAATAAAAGAAATGAAGGATATATTTAGTAGCAGAGAGATAAATTAATAGCTAATTACAGGGTAAATTCCATTCTGTAGAGTAGTTGACATCTGACACGTTATAAATAAGAATACTTGGAGATTAAGGACAAGTTTTTAGATATCTGACATTTCTGGATTACAACACAAACACATGTTCATAAAAATTGGGCCAATAACCTTAGGTTGGCATTGTACTAAAATATGTCTGTCGCAACACATTGAATGTATTTCGCAATGTGTGATCTACATCTACACGTGAACACACAATGATGACACGTGAACACAATTCAAAATATTAGATCCTTATGACAACATTTAACTATTCCACCAACAAACTCAACGTACAACTTAAACATCACCATGACTCTGTTTAAGGACCAACGTTAATAATAGCGGTTTTGACTGTATCCATATTGAGATTAAAAAAAAAAAAAAACAGAAAATACATCACCTGATAAACAAGAACATAAAAAAAGGACATGCAATATGATTTGTCGTGTTTTCCACTCTTTTCATTGTCATTAACAGGACTATTTTTTCCGGTGGACCCTTCCATTCATGTTTTCTCACCCAAGAAAACAAACAACCACAAATCACTTCACATTCTTTCTTTTCTTCCTCCTCCAAATTCATGGAAGAAAATAAAGTGTTATAAACAATATCTTACCTTCCTCTCCAAAACTAAATTAGCTTCAACCAACAAAAGTAGTTGACAAGTATTTTGTTTCTTTCCTTCCTCTACTATTTTTTTTAGTACTAGTTGAACGTGGGTTGGTTGAATTTGTCAATATTAGTATGAAGAAAATAGAAATAAAAATTTGTTTTTATTAACTTATCAGGACCTATTTCTTCAACAAGTTTACCAATAATGTCCAGACCTTTTAATAGTCAGAAAAAACCAACCATTAATGGACATAATTAGACTTGACAACCTCTCCTGTATTTTTAAACCATTTATGGATCAAATAAAAAATATTTATAACTCAATCTAATCTATATTTTAAAACGGGTCAAAATTTTTAGTTTAATCTATGTTAAGCCAATAAGTTAATGAATCAATTTTAATCTGTTTATTTTCAAAAATATTAACATATTTATATAAAATCAATTAATTAAAAATATATTTAAATAAAAATAAAAAGTAAAAGTATATTTTAAAATTTTAAATTTTTTCAATAAAATTAGATTTTTTAAAATATCATAATTTAAATACATCCATTCTATCTTAAAATAAGAATTAAAAATTTACTCTTTATTATTATTATATTTTTAGTAATTTATTAATTTAAAATAATAATTAATATTACTAATTAAATTTTGAAATAAGTAATTATTAGATAATTAATCTGATATTTATTCTAATAATAAATGAATATATGTCAAATTAATTTATAATACGTATATTTTTTTAATAACATAATATTATTTTTATTTTTGTTTAAAAAATTATTTTTATTTTATAAGTTAGCCTAACTTAAACGAATCAAAATATGTTTGATTTAATTTAGATCACAAATTTTTTTACTTAACTTATATTAATTTTTCATATCTTTTGAGTTAGGTCATCGAATTAAACTTATTTTTACTCTATAAATAATTTACTTCACTTTTTTATTATTATTATTATACAAGCTAGTGAGTGTTGTGTGTGATATTGTAGCTTCAAATTAATATTTATCCACAATTTCATGAGGCACATTTTTCATTTTCACACATTACAAAAAAAATGTTTACAACATTTTGAATACACAACTATGTTAAATAATTAGAATTTGTTTACCTTCTATAATAATTTTATTGTACTGAACAAAACTTTCTCTTAGGAGAAGAAGTTGCTATCTGTTAAAGAATAACAAATTCAATATATACGAAATCTATTATACCTTACGAATTAAAACAATCTATCTCGTTAATAAAAAGTCATCACGACATTTTATTTTTATGTTTTATTATTAAATTAGATTAAATTACTAATTAAATACATTATATAACGACAAAAGGTGATTTTTATCTTATAACTTACATATTGGTTTGTTCAAATATAAAATCCATAGAAAAATTAATAAATAATTGAAAATGTTTCACTATATAGGTATTCATTTCATTTTTATATTTATCATTTTGTCCTCGATTAAAAGGTGATATTTTGGTATTATCGTTGATGTTGAGACCATGATTATATATATATATATATATATATATATATATATATATGTGCTGAGATTTTTTTTTCTGTCGTAATTATCATGATTTAAGCAGCAACCGTGGCACGTTGTAGGACATAACTAAGGATACTCTACGTAAACTGTTTCTCATAATCAATTGTTTGAACAACGTCAAAACCAAATTTTTAAAATTTGAAAATATCATTACTTAGAAAAAGAAAAAAGAAAACTTTTTAGATTTAGTTTGAAATTCGTTTATCAAGACAAGATTTCTTGACAGCTGACGCAACACCAGGTACCCTTCTTTTCACTGAATTTGGATTTTAGGACGTTATTTGATTTAATTGATGAACAATAATTCAATGTTTTCATTTTACTATAGATTCTCAGCAACCACACATGGCAGTGAAATGAAAGGGAAGAAAATTTATGATAACAAGACACCAAAAAAAGTTCAGATTGAAAAGTACTTCACATTTTTCATAATAAAAAATAGAACATGTGTTGTATTAATGAGACAAAGGTGCTATTTTATTGGCTTTTCTGTTATTGTCAATGTATGGTGGGGTTCAGAAAGCAAATGAATGATTTTTCTTTGAGTTAAGTTTATTTAGATCAGAAGAAACATAAAATCATCATAAGAGATGTTTTCATTATAAATAATGGGATTTTTATTCTATCACATTAAACAGGTGAGAGTTTAGAAAATACATTCGAAAGAATATGTATTATATAAATTACTATTAAGACTCATAGATCTAATAAAACAATTTTAATTTTTAAATAATTTTAATATGAAAATTAAAGGTTGATATATATTTTTTAAAAGATGTGCTAAATGTGTCCTTAATTCTCATATTTGTAATTATTAAGATAAAAAAAATTAAAAATTGAAAATGTTTAACTTATTTTTCAAAAATTATTACGCGACTTATGTAAAACTCTACTTTACGAGTAAATATTTTAGACTGCACCAAACTTTTGCAGGTGGTCACTTCAGTTTAATTCCATGAGTTGAAGTTTTATCTTTTTTTCCTTCAATGTATGATTTTTTTCAAAATAAATTATGATATTTTTATTTTGGGTATGAAAGATGGGAGGAAAAAGAAAAGAAAAGAAAAAAAATTTGAGATTGATGTAATGAAAAAAAAGTGAAAAATAAATAAATTTAGTTTATAAATTGATAAATAATAATAATTTTAAAATTCCACAAAACCAAGGCGTAGCAAAGTGGCACAAGTCTCTTGGAGGATTTGTCAAACTCTTTTATTGTGTGGGTTTGGTTTCAAAATTTAATAATATTAAATTAGCACGTGAAAACGATATCTTACTTTCTAAGTTAGGTTCTCTTATAAAAAGAGATGTAGGATAGTGTATTTGAAAATATCATATTCATTAATAAGAGTATTTCAGACTTTATTAATTTTTTGTTTTTTTTTTCAGTTATGCAGACCAAAATAACTTGAATAACATTTTCTTTATTTATAGTATAATGTTTCTCCCTTTTGTATTATCAATCAATAAAAAATAATTTAAGTAACTTAATACATAATGGTGTTCTTGTTCTGAATAATGATCAGTAAAATTTCCTATCACTTATGTCATGATTACAATCAATTTGAAATTATTTGTATCCTATATAAAAATGGATATAATATATAAATTATAAAACATATATAAATTTAAATTATAAAAATTATTAAAACATAAACTCTGATAACAGCACTACATTTAACCAAGCATTAGCAGCACTCCCATGATCCCTCACTCTCAAGTCAACATCCACTGCAACGCTGCACTTTTTGAGCTACAGTGACCTATCTACTAGCATTCCAACAAACCCTCGTTCTTGTGACTTGATGCATCTATTCACTCGCCAGTTGGTATCTAAAAGATCCATTTTTTGTGAGAGAGCTTTTAAAAAAATTGCTTTTTGATTCGTTTTATAGTACTAATACTTACTATTTTTACTTAATTAGAGGAAAAACAGTTACTTAGAGGTTGAACAAAGGACAAAGTTGTAGATAAAATAAGGTGTAAATCGAATATTAGGAAGAAGTTTATCAGAAAAATGATTTCTATTGAAGAATTATGGATAAAGTTTTCTGTGATAAGATTATAAATCTTACTTTTAATCAGAATCCCACAATTAATTAAAACGAATTACTTGTTGTGGAATTTAAACCCTGAGAATCTCGTATCCAGCGGACTACTGTGGATGAGCTCTTCTCACATGTTGAATTCCTATCATACACCCTGGTAGTTTTGTTTTCTTATAGTTGAATATTATGACAAGGCTTTCTATAATCAGGGAAACAAGGGTCATGGCAAGGAAGTAAATAAATGAAGAGATATATAGAGAGAGAGAGGTGGACAAGTCTAACAAACAAACTTGCCTTCCTTTTCCCATCTTATCAAATAACACAACACACTGCAGGCTTGTTGTGTTGTGCTCATTCAGTAATTTTAATCTGTATGAGACAAGCTGTGTCTACCCTGCAAAGCCAGAAAAATGGTGCCAGAGAACATGAAGAAGCAACTTGCTTTGGCTGTGAGAAGCATCCAATGGAGCTATGCAATCCTCTGGACTGATTCAGCCACCCAACCCGGGTACCAAACCAACTGTTCTATTCAATTTGCTAACTCTATCATATTTTCAATTGTTTGACTTTTCAACATCCCCTTCTTGAATATTTTGTTTTCTCCAATACCAGAGAAGATTTTATGTTAGATGATACACACACAATTTGCCATCCCTGTCTACCATTTTTGGTTGAACCTCACTCAGCATATGATGCATCTTTTTCTAGCGTAGTTGGTTTATGTTAATATAAGGAATAAATCAAAATCAAACAATCCTAGCCTATCCATGGTTTTCTCATCTAAGGAGTATAGTTGACTAATTGAATAAAAAGTTGAGATTCTGAATCTACTGTTGCATTTTATTGTATTACTGCTTCTGTGGTAGTTGGTTTGGGTCTGTGTTCAATTTTTTGTTTCTCACAGGGTGTTGAGATGGGGAGAAGGGTATTACAATGGAGACATTAAGACAAGGAAAACAAGTCAAGGGGTGGAACTTAATTCTGACCAAATAGGCTTGCAGAGGAGTGAGCAGCTGCGAGAGCTATTCAAATCTCTCAAAACTGCAGAAATCAGCCCACAAAGCAAAAGGCCGTCGGCAGCACTATCCCCAGAAGATCTCACAGATGCTGAGTGGTATTACTTGGTTTGCATGTCCTTCATATTCAACATTGGCCAGGGGTAAATAGTAAATCTCCTCTAATTTTCTTTCTTGCAAGGTTGGATCATCAAGTTGTGTTCCCAAAATGGAGTGTTTTACTGTTTTGTAATATAAGGATGAGCAAATCTTAGTTATCTTCAAATCTTTGTGTGCTGGTAGGTTGCCAGGAAGAACTCTGGCAAAGGGTCAACCCATTTGGTTGAACAATGCCCATTCCGCTGATTGTAAAGTTTTTAGTCGTTCTCTACTGGCTAAGGTGGATTCATTTTCTTCATTTGGCTTGTTCTTTCTTCTGCTTTTGGTTAAAATCTTGAATTATTACAATCTGGCCGTCTACCATGCTTAAAATGACAGAGAATCTGAATTGTCTTCTTTGTTTGGTTTTTGTTCCATAAACAAACCGGTGACAATTGTCTTCTCTCATGATCAGAGTGCATCCATTGAGGTACCGTCTTGTTTTTTCTTTACTTAATCGTCCTTGCTTTATAATCTTTTATGTGTAATTAACAGTTAGCATAGTCCCATCAAATATGACGCAGAGAAATTTAGATTTGTTAGAACTTAGAATAGGTCTGCCTTTTGGAACCACTCTATAGTGTTTGGTCTAGGCACTGTTGCAACAGTATCCATTCTAATTTCAAAAGCATAGAAGTATATACCTGTAGTTTATGGTATCGTAGCTTATTACCTAACCAAGGAAAGACTCTTTAAAATTTTGTGATCTGTTCCCTGCATTTAGTTTTCTTCAACACAAATAACTATGATTCTAAATCTAAGACTGTAATGTACACCAAAACTAATTTTAGTAGGCAAAGTCTAATCAATGCACTGTTTAATTTGTTTCCTTAATCTCAACTTTCAGACGGTTGTGTGTTTTCCGGTTATGGAAGGAGTTATTGAGCTTGGTACTACTGAACAAGTAAGTTTTTCACCTTCACTTATCATCATTAACTTATATTAGTGTTTTCGTTATTCTCCCAGATAACCATGTTATTGAAACTTTTTCTGTGTCAAGGTCTCAGAAGATTTCAGTCTCATTGAGCGAATAAAAACTTCTTTCTTGAATAGTCTGCATGTCAATGTTCCTAATAAGTCTGGAGTATTGAAATCAAGGGACCAGGAAGATCTTGCTTATGTAGCATTTGATCATAATGCTAATAATGTTGAATCAATTCCAGAAATTGGTTATGACATAGCCAACGCAACCTCTCCTGATGGTAGTTCAAATGCATTCCAAGCCAATCAACCACTGGATGAAACATTCATGGTTGAAAGGATAACCAGTGGAACTTCGCAAGTCCAGAGCTGGCAAGTTATGGATGATGAGTTGAGTAACTGTGTCCATAACTCCATGAATTCCAGCGATTGTATATCACAAACTTTTGCCAGCCCTGAGAATATTGCTTCTTCACCCAAGTGTAACAACCCTTCTGACCCTCGTGCCCGAGATCTTCAAAAGTGCAACAACCCAAAAATGACCCTAGTGGATCCTCGAAGCGATGATTGGCATTATCAGAGAGTTCTGTCTGACCTTTTAAAAAACTCTGACCAGTTACTCATAAGAATGCATTCACAAAAATTTCATCAGGAATCGAGCTTTGTTAGTTGGAGGAAAGGAGGGACAATGGATTGCCAATGGCCAAGATCAGGAACTTCACAAAAGTTATTGAAGAAGGTATTGTTTGAAGTTCCTCAAATGCACTTGGATGGGCTGCATGAGTCTCAAGAAGAAAATGACTATAAAGAGGGAATGAGACTAGAGGCTGATGAAATTGGCATGAACCATGTTATGTCAGAAAGAAGGAGAAGAGCAAAACTAAATGAAAGGTTTTTAACTCTTAGGTCAATGGTCCCTTCAATCACTAAGGTAATGTATATTTCACTGATGCATTTATTTGCTTGATTGTCACTCACTTCTGAAATCAATGAAGTGTACAATTCTTTCAGGATGACAAAGTTTCAATACTTGACGATGCAATTGAATACCTTAGAAAGCTTGAGAGAAGGATAAAAGAGTTGGAAGCTCAAAAAGGGATGACAAATATAGAGCCTGGGACTAGAAGATCACCTCAAGATATGGTAGAAAGGACTTCTGATCATTATTTTAGCAAAAGCAATAATGGCAAGAAACCAGTGGTAAAAAAGAGAAAGGTTTGTGGTGTAGATGAGACAGGACGAGAGATCAATTCAGATGCTTTAAAAGGCAGTTATGCTAATGATGTTACTGTGAGTGCCGGTGACAATGAACTTGTGATCGAAATGAAGTGCCCTTCAAGATCAGGAAGGCTACTGGAAATTATGGAAGCAGTTAATAGTTTCAACATAGATTTTAATTCAGTTCAGTCAACAGAATCTGATGGGAATCTTCATCTGACCATTAAATCTGTGGTGAGCACTTGGATACGCCTTTTTCGTTTAATACTTTTATGCATTTAGCAGAACATAGCTAACTACGGAATGATCGTTTCTTAAGCACCTACATACCCTCTTGCCCTTTATCTAAATTGGTCATCCTTCTATTTTCAGTTCACAGGAGCAACCATTGCAACAACCAAAAGAATCAAACAAGCACTCCAAAAAGTGGCATCCAAGTTCTGAATTTTTTCTCTTCACCTTAAAACCATGGGGTTGTTCAATTCAGTTCTTGCCACTGCATAGATAATCTTGCAATTCTTTTTGAAGATTTATCGATGTGGTCTCATGGTGATGATGTAAGATGGACTTTTAGGCAGTTGTAAATGGTTAGGTAGAGTTAGTTGACTAGATTCCTGTAACGCCATTAACTCCAATGGCATCACAAAGGTTGACCAATGACTAAATATTGATAGAGAGAAGTACATTATTAATTCTGATAGTCTTTAGAGCTATGCGTGCAGTTCAAAATTAGCCAACAACCTAGATGATTTTCCTAGTGTACTAAATATACTAGAAGGAACAACAACTATTTTGACCATGAATATGTAATTCAGAATTTGCCTATGGATTTCTCAGTCACAACCAATCTACATTTCCTGTGATCCAACAAATGTTTCACACATGCTCAACTCGTATCCTACTAAAACCAGAACAAGCATGATAAAGTAGAGTTGCCGACACATTAATAATATTTCAACACTATTTTCTGCAAACACCTTATCATGTTCTTTTTCTATCACATCACTATTCATGCTTGTTATTTATCTTTCTTTTTCTTGCAAAATATACACCAGTTAGTCATGTAAAAAAAGAAAGAAAAAAAAATTGTGGCGGGTGATAAAAAAGTAGAAGGATTCAAGGGATATAGACTCTCCTCTTTCTAATAAAATATTGCAATCAACCCAACAAAATGGTGACAAGTTATATTAAATTACAGTGACTATATCTTGACTAAGTTCATGTTTTCACCACCTACTTCATTCTTCTTCTTCTTTCTTATTTGTTTATTCCCTAATGACACTTAGTCTCGGTCAAATTAAGTTTACTGTATTATAATCTTGTTCATGTTTTTTAATGTTCAGAGATTAAAGTACTTTGCTGGAATTTGACTGATCCATACATATAAACATATTATAAAATGGGGTTGGTGGGGCTAGCCTGCATTTCAATTTGGTGTCAAGGGATTTTTTATTTGGTCAAATATATTTAGGAGTAAATAATCTCAATTTAGATTTGATGCATGTTATTTTTATAACATATTATCTTATAATTCATATTTTTAAAAAACACGTTTAATTTTGTAAATATATAAGGCAAAGTACCTCCTAATTACTAGTAAACACGTGGCATTGTCTTACAGAATGGAAATAGTTTCTTCAATTTTTCAAAAATAATTTTTTTTGTATTTTAATTAATAAAAAAGGTTAAAGCAAATATGAGTTTTTGTTAAATGGGAAGTATTACGTGTAAAGTAACCCTAAAGTCCTTAACTACCCTTTTTCATACAGAAATCGTTATTAATTAGTTATTGGGCCGCCAATCCTGAATTCAACTTAAAATAAAGAAGTCCACTCATTTTTGTGTCAACAACCCACTCACTTAACAAAAATTGTAATTTTTTTCATAAATAATATTATTTTAAAAAATATTTATCAAAAGCTTCATAACATTATTTATTCATTTAGCATCTGATTACCATTTTTAATTTTTTTTTCTAATCAGAACTCAGTCCCGGGAGAATCGTTTCTAATTTTTTTTTTGTTTTTATTTTATTACTTTTATAATATTTTTTTATAATTCTAAATATAATTTATTTTTAAGTTTATAATTATTATTTTAATTTACACAATATATATATATATATATATATACAATTAATTAATTTGAAGTTCATATATATAATTTTAATTTATGTTATATATATAATTTTAATTTATATAATATATATAATTTATTTAACATTAAAAATATATATATTTTTATTATTTTTATAATTATAAATTTTTTAAGATTATAATTTTAAATATAATTTTTTTACTTTATAATTATAATTTATATAATATATATAATTTATAATAGTTATTTTTTTAATTTTATTTGATATATATTTTTTATTTGTAATTATTTAATGTATATTTAAAGTAATTTATTTATATGTGATTTTTTTACATAATTAATATTTTTTTTAAATTCCTAGCACCTCCCCAACATTATTTATCCAACTAGTACTATTTACTTTGCTAGTTCGAAATCTGGTTCCCAAGGAGCAAAATTTTGAATTGATTTTTTTTATAGGTTTAGAAATTTATTTTTTTATAATTATAAATTTTTTAAGTGTAAGATAATAATTATAATTATTTATAATTTTATAATTTTAATTTATATAATATATATATATAATTTTAATTTATGTTATATATATATAATATTTTGAATATAATATATCTTTAACATTATGAAATTTTTATTTTTTATTTAATATTGTATATATATATATATATTTATTAATATATTTTAGATATAATTTATTATAAAAACGTAAGTATATATTTATATTTTTTAATTATAATTAATTATTTAGAAATTATTTAATACAAAAATAAATAATAAAATCTAAACAAAATTCAAGTGAGGCCAAGAATATATCTTTCATTAACTTTTAAGATTAAAACATAAGGAAAAAATTGAAAAGAAATAATACAAAGTTAAAGTTTTAATATCCATAGTGATGTTCGGTTTCACAACGAGAACGATGTCTATTACGTCGTGGATTTCTTCGTTGTGGTTGTTCCTGTTGAGGAGAATCTTCTTACGCAAGGAGTTGAAGTTTTTCCAATTGAGTTGATGAAGTCCTTGGTTGATTGAGATCTTGTGATTAATCCGGAGACCTCATATAAGTAGCTGTTGAAGCTGGAGTTGAAAAATCAACTTCAAATAGTCCCGCGACAATTATTATTTCTTACATGAATCAATAATTAAAGCATTTTTCAGTTGGTGTCAAAATAAAGGTTGAATATTTATTTATATATTGTGATTGAAATACGGAAAATGGAAGTATTAATTCATTTTAGAAGTAGATATTTACTTTTTTATAATTATTTCTTTAATTCAATAATCTAAAAAAATATTTCATCTTAATTATAAAAAAATAATTATTATAAAGATAAATAATAAGTATCTTATTTTTAATCTTAAAATTAAAAATAATTATAAAAATGACGAATGATTATAATTTCATATTAATATTAAAATGGATAATTTTTTTTTCAAAATTGGATATGAATAAATTATGTTTTGAGATAAGACTTCTCATGCTCCAAAAGACTAACTTTATTATTTTTTCAGAAGTCATATACTTATTTATTAGATTTCTTCACACTACTAATTTTTTTATTTTTTTTTAAGTTGTGCTCTAATTCACGATTTTGGTAAAGTTTTTTTTTTTATTATTGTTAATTATATAGTTGCCTTTTAATTCATATATATAATTTTTTTAGGTTAGTTTTTTAAAACTATTGATTTTTTAATCTTGATAAAATAAATAATTATTAGGTATTTAAATGTCAATAATATTAATTTTTTTAAATATGTTCAATTATTAAAAAAATAATTAATATAATGATGAAAACAAATATGAATATATTTTATAAAAAAATAAAATTTTATATTTTTATTGTTGACATAAAAAATTACATAATAATAATTTAACCAGATGAATATTTCTTTAACTTATTTAAAACATGTTATTTCTTCTTATTTTATGTGATTCATTTTAGATCTTTCTAATTGTTGTTGATACAAACTTAAACTATGAACAAATTTAAGATTTTAATAAGAAAATCAATAATTTTCATTATAAATGGAATGAACCACATTTCATACGTTTTTTAATATAATTTGTAGCTTATACACTAGCCAATGATATCTTAATATATAAATCACAATATGTACATATAATAATGAGAACAAATAAGTAAGATAAATTGAAATTCTTCATAATCACACTATCAAATATTTAAGAGATATTTAAGTTTTTTTTTTTTTTTTTTACTTTTGAACCATCTCATTAATATATTTTTTAATAATATAATATATTTAAAAATTATTTTATATTATTGATGTCTAAATACTAATTATTTAATTATTTTATAAATATTAAAATAAAACTTATAATAATTAAAAATAAGAATTTATATATATATATATATATATATATATAAATTAAAATCGTCAAGAGCTCGACTTCAATGAAAAAAATAAAATAAAAAATAGTGTGAATAAGTCCTGTATGTGTATATGAGTTTTTTTTTTAAATAACAAAATCATAATTTGGAACACAATTTCTTTAATATTAAATTATATCTCAAAATATGACTTATTTATATTTTTTTAAAAATATATACCAATTTTAGAAATAATTAAAACAAATTACATCATTTAAAAAAATAAGTATCATATTATATTGTGTCGGTGGCATGTATATATTCCTATTGATAAGAAGATATTATAAAAAAGGATTTGAATATTATTGAGTAATATAATTATTTGATAATTTATATGACAAAGGTCTTATATTAAAAACAATTGTAAATTTTAAAAGATTGATTAATTCTTTATTTGATTTAAAGGTTTATTCTTACGGTTAATATATTTATTCAATTAGTATTAATCACCTAATTTATTGTTACTCACAAACAAAAACATGGAAATTATATATATATATATATATATATATATATATATATATATAATTTTTATTTTGTTTTCCTTTTAACTACTTTTTCCCACTTTTTACTTTTCCCTTTTCATTTTTTCTATTATTTGATCAAATGAAAATAATTTTTATTTTCTCTTTCCGGAATATTTAATAATAGTGTAATTATGAATATAGAAAATAATTAATAAATAAAAACTAAATCTTTGTATAATATAAAACTGTCGATATAATTATTAATTGTTTTTTATAAACAAAATAATTTTAAAATTTAATAGCATAAAATAAAAAATGTGATTTTTTAATAATATATATTTTAATATATAATTATAAAATATTTTTTATTATCAAATTATATTATTCTAAAAATACTTTAGTTTAAACTAACAAAATAATATATCGTTTAAAAATATATATCAAATTCTCTTTTTGATTGTACTATTATATTAATTATACCCTATAAAAAATAATATAATTAAAAGTTAACATACATAATTAAATTTATAAATATAAGAATAAATATTTTTTAATTAAGGAGAATATAATTATATGAAATAATAATTTTCTTGATTTTTTTCAGCACTCTTCTTTTGTATGATACTATTTTTATTATTTTTCACTCAAGTAAAATATGTAAATTTGTTTGATTTAGTTTTTAAAAATATTTTTAAAATTAAGTTTAAGAAACTATTTTAAAAATAAATAAATAAAAATATCGTTAGATAAATATTTTTTTAAACAATTTAAATATATATATATATATATATATATATATATATATATAAAACTAATCGTTAAAAATTTTGAAAACTGATTTTAAAAATTAATAATTTAATATATTACCGATATTAATATTCATATAATATATAATAAAAAATTGTTTTTATTTTTTAAAAACTAAACTATACACTAATTATCATGTTTTTAAATTTGTAAACACTAATCCACTGGAGTTTAATTTTTAAGAATAATAAACTTTAGTACAGTATTTTACACGTTAATTAAGAATAATAATGATAATAAATGTATGTATTTTTTTTATACAGTAAAATAATATATCCTTTAAATATATTACATTTACTTTAATTATTTATTATGAAATAATTTATGTGAAAAGAAATTAAAATAAAGTTGACTAATAATACATTATAATCTGAAAATATAACTTGTTTTGATATATTAGTGAATTACAAATATTAAAGGTGGCAGAAATTCATTGGATACATAAAAAAAACAACAAAAAAATGGAGTGGTTCCCGCCAAAGCTAAAACCCTGAATGCCAATTAGTGACAGTAATTACTAATAAATAAACCGTCACGTTTCTTCATTGTAAAAACTAAAGACGCGTGGTATCTGGCTTCTACGTTTTTGAGAGCATTTGATGTGAAAAAAAGTCATATTTTAACGAATAACCAGACACGTACTAATTGGATTTGTAGTGTTGTTGCGGACATAAACCCTGACCTGTCACCACTGTCAACACCATAAACCCTAACTAGGAGTTTGAAGTTCACTTCCCAGTTTTCAGCAGCCACCGTCACAACCCCAAAAAATGGACCCTAAAACGGTGAAATCCGACCTCGTTCTCATCCTCGATTACGGTTCCCAATACACGCACCTCATCACGCGCCGCATCCGTAGTCTCTCCGTGTTCTCTCTCTGCGTCTCCGGCACCTCCTCTCTCGCCACCATCACCGACCTCAACCCCTCCGTCGTCATTCTCTCCGGCGGTCCCCACTCCGTACACACCCCGGACTCCCCCTCCTTCCCCGATGGCTTCCTTCCCTGGGCCCTCTCCCATGACATCCCCGTCCTCGGCATCTGCTACGGCCTCCAGCTCCTCGTCCAGCGCCTTGGCGGCGTTGTCCGCGTTGGACACAAGCAGGAGTACGGACGCATGGAAATCTGCGTCGACAAACCCTCCGCGCTCTTCCCCTCCGGCAAAGTTGGTAAACGACAGGTCGTTTGGATGAGCCATGGCGACGAGGCCGCCACGCTTCCTGATGGCTTCCACGTCATCGCCCGCAGCGACCAGGGCGCCGTCGCCGCCATTGAAAACCCCTCCGCCAAGCTATACGGTCTTCAGTATCATCCTGAGGTAGTATTTTTAAACTTACTTTCAATTGGATACGATATTTACTTTAAATTGGATACGATATTTACTTTATTGGGATATAATATGTGTTTTGCCCCTCTAAATGCGGTTTCTTAATCAGTTGGGGAGTTTTGTTGTCCATAGATGTTCTAACCAACTTGAGCATCATGTCATATCATAGTCTTCTATGAAAAATATTTGTGGTTTGTAAAAGTATATGAACTATGTCAATATTTTTGCAGGAAAAATTGAGATATTTTGATGAATAAAGGACATATTTTAGCTAATTTATCTTAGTTGCTGTTAGTTGGTGATTCATGTTGGGCGTGTTCTTGTGCAGGTGACGCATACGGAGGAGGGAATGGAAACCTTGCGGCATTTTTTGTTTGATGTTTGTGGCGTGGAAGCAGGCTGGAACATGGAGGATGTGATGGAGGAGGAGATAAAGGTGATTAACGATTCTGTGGGGCCTGACGAGCATGTGATATGTGCTTTGTCTGGTGGTGTGGATTCCACTGTTGCTGCAACTCTTGTGCATAAGGCTATTGGGGATAGGCTTCATTGTGTGTTTGTGGATAATGGGCTGCTTAGGTATAAGGAGAGGGAGCGGGTGATGGAGACCTTTGAGAAGGATCTTCATTTACCGGTTGTGTGTGTTGATGCCGTGGATCAGTTTCTTACGAAGCTGAAGGGTGTTACAGATCCGGAGACTAAGAGGAAGATTATTGGAAAGGAGTTTATTTGTATTTTTGATGCGTTTGCTCAGGAGCTTGAAGGAAAGCTGGGGAAGAAGCCTGCTTACTTGGTTCAAGGGACTTTGTATCCGGATGTGATTGAATCTTGCCCTCCACCAGGGACTGGGAGAACTCATTCCCATACCATTAAGAGTCATCATAATGTTGGAGGTCTTCCAAAGGACATGAAATTGAAGCTTATTGAACCACTTAAGCTTCTGTTCAAGGATGAGGTTTTACTGTTGATCTACTGGCTTGTTTGAATGTGCTTGGATTCTCAGGTTATGTTATACATTGTTTTTGTTGCTGTGTATGTAGGTTCGTCAATTAGGGAGGATCTTGGATGTTCCTGAGGCCTTTCTCAAACGTCATCCATTTCCAGGGCCTGGTCTTGCTGTGAGAGTTTTGGGTGACGTGACTGAAGGAAATGCTTTAGATATTCTCCGACAGGTACATCGATCTCTTGTGCATATGTTAGCTTGTAAAGTTTATTCATGATTACCCTTTGGTGTTTATGTCTGAAAATTGTTTTTCCAGGTTGATGAGATCTTTATCCAGTCAATCAAGGATGCTGGTCTCTATGATTCAATATGGCAAGCTTTTGCGGTTTTCTTGCCCGTTCGGTCGGTTGGTGTTCAAGGTGATCAAAGAACACACTCCCATGTTGTTGCTCTCAGAGCTGTTACAAGTCAAGATGGAATGACCGCTGACTGGTAAGATTGTAACTGTACTGTTTGGTTATGCTGCTGCTAAGTTTTTTCTACGTCCTTATTACTGCTGAATGTGCTCCATTTTGCAGAATATACCTGTGAAAAGCATATTTTGGTTATGCTGTGCTACTGTTGCATAACCTTATTTTTTTACTTTATTTTAATTGTACTAAATTACCAATAGTTGGTTAAACACGCCTCTGGTATAAACTATTATTGAATGGAGCAAATGAAGTTTGGTAGATATGTGATGTGGTTCCCATTGTATGACATAATATTCTGCTTTTCAATATTGTTGCTGTGGCTTGGTATTGATACAGGGGAAGGTGTCAATACTGGTGCTTGTTACAGGAATATGATATAAGAACTTCCGCTCCGGCGTTGTGCCAGAATTCAGAAAGTGGTGTCACCTTATCATTTCATTAAGTGACATCACAATCTTAGTTAAAATGGCAAGGACATTAAATTATTTACTATAAATACATGAGTTTCAGGGCATTTACGTTTTACTTGTGATGCAAGTTCTTTTAAATTATTCTATTGGCTTCAAATAATCATTCCCTATCAAACCATCGAAACTGTTGCTTATCATCTTTTACTGCACTCTGGTAACTCTGAAACAAATTTCAGGTACTACTTTGAGCACAAGTTCCTTGATGATGTGTCCCGAAAGATCTGTAATGGTATCCGTGGTGTAAACCGTGTGGTGCAAGACATTACCTCAAAGCCACCGTCAACAATTGAATGGGAATAACTTAGATTTATGTTTTTACTTTACAAAAGTAGTGAGTCACTGTGAAGTTGTATATGCGCTAAGGCTCTGGTTATTTTCTTATTTGATTTTCTTGTCTTGGAGGGAGGTTATGGGAGGGGGAATTTCTTGTTGAATTATTATTTATAATTCTTGTGATTGTGATTGGAATAGGAGTTTAGAGGACCATAGCCTAAACTATTACATTGTAATGATTTTTTGCCCCCATCAATCAATTTTATTAATGTAGTTTTTGAACTCGAAGATCACTTGCACGGGATTGTAATAGCGATGTTAAAGCTGAGACTGAATGTGATTCTCATATTAGCTTTTTCAGAATATATTCCCGTGTATAACTTTATCAGGATAGATTATTCTCGATGATTGTCGTCGTGGTAACAATATGACAATCTTTTGTAATTCATTTCCCTAAATTTGAAATATCGGTTAATGAAGAGGAAGATGAGAATTTTGATAAACTCGAAAAGGGCTTCAAATAAAGGTTTAAATAAATTCATATATATAAATAAAATGTTAATTTTAGTATATAAATTATTGAACATTACTGGGACCATATCACCTATATTTTTAATACCTGATTTTTTTGGAAAATAGGATATTTTTTTAAGTCCTTATATAGTAAGGAAAATAAAAAAAGAAAAGTAATTGATAATTGATTGAATTTGATGAATATTTTATTGAGTAAATGGTTAGTTTAATTTTTATTTTATCCTCATATTAGTCGTTAAAAAATCAAATAAATCTTGAATCTTATTAGTTTTTTAATCATATTATAGTGTATATAGAGTGTGTATTAGTTTTGTCATTCTGATGATATAATTAAAAAATAATTTTCTATAAATTATAATCATAATTATAAACAAATAAAATGTTTGATTTATAAAATGCAAAAATTGAAATTGTATTCCGATGTTAAACTTTTAAATTGAATTCTTAATATTTAAAATGATAAAACCCATTTGCTTTTCATATTCTTTTTTTTATCCATTGTCCCAAAATAACTACACATACGTAAATCTTAACTGCACGTATAACTAAAGACTAAAGGATAAAGAACTATGCAGAGGTGATGTATGATTGGAGCAAGCTGAAAAATAGTTTTATATTATCTTGCTTTTATTTTTCTATTTTTTTTAATTTAATTTCTACCCTCTCTTCTTTTAATTAAAAATGCTGTTAGAATTGTCTTTGTTTTGCTCGCTACTGACAAGGGCAAAAATTTAAACACAATAATCCTATAAAATTATTCGTTAAAAGGAGATGACAACAGCAAGGGACGTCAAATATAGAATATGCTTTTTAATAAGAATCAAATACCGAACCTTTGGAGTGCACATTAAAATGAAAAAAAAATGTGATCACATCAAAAGATTCAATAATACCTGGATAAAGATTTTCTACTGTTTAAAAATAAAGAGAAAGCTTGCATAGTATACTATGGCTATTTTGTTGTGTTTTTTCTAATCATATTAAGTTTCATTTGAGTAATATACAATACATTTAATATATATATATATATATATATGTATGTATATATATATATATATATATACATATATATATATATATATATATATATATATATATGTATGTATGTATATTATCAATGTGAAATTTTAAATACAAGTGGAGAACAACCTATATATAATATCTATAATATTGTATATAGATGCAAGAGGTGTTGAATCTTAAATCATACATTTTATTTTATTTTTCTATTAATATTAAGTTTAAATAAAAATATAACCAACAATGATTCAGATTCATGTAGTTACAAATAGGATGGCCCAGTGATAGCAAATTTGATTAGTTTAGATAAGTGTAAATCTCATTATTGTTCTATAAAATAATGCAAAAACGAGTGTTAAATTTAGATGTATAAAAAATATGTTTCACTGATACAAGTGATTTGTTCAATAAATGGTAGCTGGATAATCCTTCCTATGTGATTTATCATCCCACAATTAATTACATGTAGAAATCCATCTCAGACGCAATTTCCAATACCAGTTTTTCAAGAACATCTTTCTCCACCTCTGTTGCAATGTCTTCTGCATCAACTTGGATGTTTAGCCATGAACCACGTCTTGCCAAGTCCTTTTCAACTAGCTGTTCTAACGTTAAAGGTGATGGATGAGGGTGAAAGTGCAAGTTAACTAGTCCTGTAATCTCTTTAACCACAAGTTTCTTCACAACATATGCTTGGACGTTTGGAACATGAAGTGGGAAACCACAGTACTGGTATACCTGCATGAAAGTTTCGATGACACAATCATGGAAGATTGTGCCACCGCTAAGTTGGCTAGTTGTTTCCTTCTGTTCAACAAAGATGGATGGATCCAGCAGTTGGTCACATGATCTCTTCGGATTAAGTTCATCACATTTCAAGATGAAGGCATGCAGAATTTCCCTTACATAGTGTATGATGTCCTTGGCGGAGGTTGAATCGTTCAATGGATCCAAAGAGAGTCTTAAAAGGTCTTCCAAATAGTTCTCTTCAATTTTGTTATGCATTACCTGTACTGGTGACTCGTCTGTTGAAGCCAAAATTGTTAACTTAGCTTGACATTAGAGAGAACAGGAAAAACAAATTCAAATATGTCCTAGTCCAGCTTTAAAACCATACCTGGTTGAATGGTGGTGATTGGAAGGTTGGTAACATCATCCTTAATAAATTGTTCAACGACAGATTCAGTATTTGGGTGTTCAACTTTGTTTCCCATGTCTGCAATATCCTCTGTTCTCTGACAGGATCGGCTTGATGAAACATCTGGTGAAAAAGGCAAAGTCTGGATCTCTGCATGCAAATCCTAATAAAATCCAATTTTCATTATTCACATTAAGGATAAAAAAGACTATATATGAATAATTTTGATGGATTTGACTATACATTGATTTAACAAATAACAATTATAACACTGCACTTTACCATGTAAAAGTAGACATTCATATTTATGTCAAATTTTAACAAAATAATAATAAAATAAAAAACTCCTTTATATATGTAAGTTAAAAATCAAATTTTAGAAAAGTTATATTAATTTATAGAGATTTTTTTCTTGATTTTCTCTTCTCCTGGTGTTTATGAAAAAGTTAGTTCAAACAAATCATTCTTAATGCCACTTCACAGCTTAGAGTAAATGTCAAAAACTATTTACCAGCAATGATCCACTTCCTCTGGTTATATTATTGATGTCGATGTTCTGAGTAGGACTGTCCATGTATCTGCAATCTGGTTCAAAAACCATATCAATACCTTCTCTCATGTATACATATTGTAACAAGATTTTATAAGTTTCTTAGACCATGCTAAAGAAATGATGGATTGAATAGGTGCTGAGACAAATATTTATTATATAGGGCATACCTCTACGAATATCATAATGTGCATGCAGCTTGTGGCCAGGAACACTATTTCTAAGACTATTATCTTCTTCTCCAGAAAGCTGCAACTTATCAGTATGCATATTAACAATGGCCACTGGTGGATCCTTGATTTCCGGTTCCAAAAAATTATATGAACCTTTTTCCCCTTCTTTTGGAAGCCCCGACTTATAGCTATAATCTCTCATCCCTTCAGTGATGGAACAGTGGTCACAGTACCTATGCAACCTTGTCAAGGAGAATAGGTCAGGAAGCGGGACTGATCTCTGTAGAGAGTTTATGCACCGGTTATATTCCTCATTTAACATCTGAGACGGATTCTTCCCACTTTCAATATGCATTTTCAATATATTTTCTTCACAAGGGCCAACTGAAGTATTATATGTGTTCTTAGTGCAACTTTCACCAAATGAAGCAGCTTCCCGCCCCTTCAACATGATAATCTTGTCCCTCTTCTTCAAATCAAGATATGAATCCTTACTAAGGGCATTAATTGGTGAGTTTCTTTCAGAAATTTCCATTTGTTTTACTTTTTTACCATCTCCCAGGTGCTTTGGACCGGAGGGAAGTTTACTTGGCATTTTATCAGCTGTCCTCCACTGCTTTTCTTGTCTCCTTACTCCCATGACATGCTTCAATTTTCTCTTTATACAACTGAAGGGAAAATGTGAAAGCCTAGTCTTTTGTGCATTAGAACTGAAGCTATTAGGCGAATGAGGAGGACTAACAAAGCTTGTTTCTACAAACTTTTCCACATTAACAGTGCCAGGCTTCAAAACTACTATTTTGTTTGAGGACTGATGCTTACAACTTGACCTCAAATCAGATCTATCAAAGGAATTCAAAGGTTTTACACGTTGCGTAGCATTACTATTTTGAGGCATCGTTTTCTGCCTTGCCTGCTGGCATGGTTCTTTCACTTGAGAGCTCTGTAAGTCTTGGATCTGTTTTACTAACAAAGAGTTTGGATCTTGCAGAAGTTTAACGAAAAGTTCCTTGTTTGAATATAAAATCTGTAAAGCATCCAAGAATTGATTAGGCTGACAGCCTGCTCCATCTTTGCCTTGATAATGTGTATTAACAAATCTCTGATCAACAATCATTTTTGTTACTTCATTTTGCCAATCAGCTACCCGATCATTCTCCATGCTGTTGATACTTCTACTACAACTGTAATCTCTTCTTCTGGAACGTACCTGTAGTTACAATTTTTCGTCAGTGCTACTGGCACCATTTTTGGAACATCTTGCTTTCTATACGTGGCAGTCTTAAAGCTTAAACAAAACTGCTAGGTCTATAATGTATGCAGTTTTTTTTTTTTTTTTCTTCATGAAAATAGTCACTAGATCATCAAAACAAGACACTAATTTTTGAGACCAAGGTTGAGGGTGATGATCACGATTTTTTGAAATGTCTACGTAGGATGCAACTCTTCTGGCCAGTGGCCATCGTCACCGTACAAAAACTGTTGAGATCTTCAAGAAGTGCTACATTAGTAAAGAAAATTTAAAAAGATTTCTTCACCTCACAAAATCACACACCCTACCCCCTACACCAATGAATTTGTGGAAGAGTTGAGATAAAAAAATAGGGTAATCAAAGAAAGATGCTTTCCTCTCAGTACAAGAAAGATGGTTAATAAACTTTCTTGACGTTTAAATTGAAATAGGAAGTCCACGTAAACAGATGTGAGATGAGGTAAACTATGTGACCATGTTAAAAGGGTAAAAACATCATGCATGGGAAGATACATTTTATTACGTAGAATCTTAAAAGCAAAGGCTCCTCTTCTAACATCAACCTTAGAAAAGGAAGTGTGCTTAATCAGAACTTACACCAATTTGAAGGTACTTCTCATCAATTGTGCTAACCACACCAGAGCTACTTCTGGATTTTCCGTTTTCTGCAATTTGGAAAAAAGATTCAGAAAACTTACAATTGATTTTTATGTGATGGGTTTTAGTAAAAACATGGAAAAAGAAGGCAAAGGTTGGCCTAAAATCTTTATTTTAAAATCGTAGCCTACTTTGTTCACAATTTTACTAAATCCAACATTCATCTAAAAAAGAAAATATCTTACCATTAGCATGAGCATTCAAATGTCTTCTATTGGAAACCAATCTTCTGTCGGGACGACCTTCACGAAAATTAAAGATCCTGAACATTCGCCACGTACAGCCTGTCTCGCACGTTTGATTAACCCGAGGAGGAGATCTTTTCGCCATGATAAGGAGAAAAACTATTATCTGTGACCTTTTACTCAATTATAATGGGAAAAACACCAAAGTCTGTGCAAGTAATGAACTATGTTAAGCTTCAGAGAGCCATCCAAAAGATAATTAGAAACACCAGAATCTGAAGTAGTAATTGAAAATCAGTTTCAAACACCACAAAAAGAATTAAACTTGGAAGAGTTCATTGTTACAGTTGAGTGATCATACTTTCTAAAACTAAACAACTCGACCTATTGAGAATTTGACGTATTCACCCACCAACCGAACAAAAGTGAAATAAAAGAAGGAAAAATAATCCACCTTGTCTGTTTGTAAAACACAAACACGTGAAGAACTGAGTTTCTTTCTGCACACCTAATGTGAATGATTACTGACTGAGACCCAACCCAACCCAACCCTGAATACAATCTTTAATTTTATAATTCACAAAGTTATTTTTTTCTGGCCTAGTTAAAGTTTAACAATGGAAATTTTAATTGTGAGTATATATCAATTAAAGGTGAGTGATACATACCTGGATATAATACCCTCCAACAGCTTAAGCAAGTTCATGGTGATATAGATCTAGAATGGAATGTTAAAATGTGAAACGCAAAAGCACAGTGTGTAAATAGTGAAAAGGATTTTGATTGGAACACCAAATATTATGACAATGACTAGTAAATTGTAAAATAATTAATGGTTGATGAAAGCTTTTAGCTGAAGGAAACTTGGCTTGCTTTTGTTTTGTTATCTGATATCTTTCTCAACATGTCTACCACTTCCGTCAATTGCAATTACAAAGATACACCTTTCTCAAAGACTGAGATTCATTTCAGGTTCGACTTTTCTCAACAGAGAATCTACCTTTTGACTATATGTTCAAGGTTGAAGGAATATGATTATATGACTATACCAAGTCCATTTAGTGAGGAAGAACCGTATTCACATTCGATATGTGCCACGGACGAAAGTTGGTTCCTCGATTAGCAATCACAATCACAATGATCATAGCACAAGAGGTGTTGCTTTCATTCATGTGTTAGGAGGAAACAGTGGCCGATCTTAATCCTTCATTTTTTTCTCAAATAATATATTATTAATAAATAATAAATAAATATAAAAGAAAGAAAATAAAAAGATGAAAAGATAAAATATATATACTTAAATATATTAAATAATTATTAAGTTTGAATTTGAGGAGAACAAAATCATAAATTATATGAAAGTTAAAAAATTTAAAAAATATTAAGAGAATAAAATTATAAATATATAAATAAATATATTAAACGTTGATTATATTTGGAGTGACTAAAATCACATAGGAGTTAGAAATTCTTGGGCCATGTCCTGAGTTCCCAAGAAGATCCGCCTGTGACGGAACACTCTGGCCCCTGCACCTTATTTTGGTACCAATGTGAACAGTTCATGCTCGTGGCTTTGGTCCCACACTGCTGAATTTTGACATGAAAGAAGTAACCTTCATTTGGGTCCATAAAAGATTGGGTCGAGCCCAAGGAAAAGAAAACTACGATTAGGCCCGTATGAGATAACCCCCGGTTTGAATCAACACAAAAAAGTTGTAAAACCCAAACAAACCCCTTGAGTGTAGTTGGCAAGTGCCACTGTCTTTGATGGCGTTATCATTTCTCCGTGTTCCACGCTTGCTTTCTCCAACTCCTACACCTGGAATTACAACTACAACTTCAACTACAACATCGAGTGTAGTCAAGTTTCAACACTCTCGCAAGCCTTCTAAATTCACACCCTTCTTTCGCTCTTCACTTTTATGTCCCTTGGTTCGGGCCATTGGGCCTGATGGAAGGTACTACCCAAGTCCAGGCGACGACGACCCACCGGAGGCCGCGGAGGACTCCTCCCACGGCTTCTCCACCTTCCAACAAATCCATATCCAATCGGAACGCGCGCGCCAAATCGAAGAGGAAGACTACAAGAAAAACCAGGCCACTTACCTCGCCGCCATCGCCGACGTTGAAGACGCCCCCGATAACGTCGACTTCGACACCTCCGGAGACGACCTATTCGGCGATATTGACAAGGCCATCGCGCTCAAACGCAAGGAGTTCGTCTCCCAAGGCCTTCTCGAACCTAATCCTCCCAAACAAGACCAGCTCGCGTCCGCCGCTGCTATGGATGAACTTCAGGCGGATGAGGCCGGCGATTTGGAGGAAATTGAACGGCTCCAGGGACTTGCCGGTAACGGTATCGGTACCGGAGGTTCGAGTGAAACTCCGTTTGAATTAGATTTTGACACTTATGGGAAAAGTAAGGTTAGGATTGTGGACGGAAAGTTTAAGATGAGTTTGGCTGAGCTTTTAGACGAGAGTAAGGTCGTACCGGTGTCGGTTTCTGGTGATTTAGAAGTCGAAATCACCGGAATTCAGCACGATTCGCGGCTCGTTACTTCTGGTGATTTGTTTGTGTGTTGCGTTGGGCGAAAAACCGATGGGCATTTGTTTCTGTCTGAGGCTGACAAGAGAGGTGCCGTTGCGGTTGTGGCTAGTAAAGAGGTTGATATTGAGGATACTTTGGGGTGTAAGGCTTTGGTTATCGTGGAAGATACTAATGCTGTTCTTCCTGCTTTGGCCGCGTCGTTTTATAAACATCCTTCCACTAAAATGGCTGTGATTGGGATAACTGGAACTTATGGCAAAACAACCACCACCTGTTTGATTAAAAGTTTGTATGAAGCCATGGGGCTGCGCACTGGTATGTTGAACTCGGTTGCCTCTTATGTCCACGGGAAAAATAAGTTGGAGTTGGGTGGCGCGGTGCCGGATGTTGTCTTGGTTCAGAATTTGATGGCGAAGATGATTCACAATGGGACTGAGGCGGTTGTCATGGAGGTTGGTTCTCATGGGCTGGGGGAGGGGAAGTATGATGAGGTTGATTTTGATATCGCGGTTTTCACTAATTTGAGTCAGGATAAGGAGGAGGATAGAGATGCGCAGGCTAAGTTATTCTCGAGAATGGTGGATCCTCAAAGGCACAGGAAGGTTGTTAACACTGATGATCCCAATGCTCATTTTTTTGTATCACAAGGAAGCCAGGAGGTTCCTGTTGTGACGTTTGCGATGGAGAATAAGGATGCAGATGTTCATCCCTTGAAGTTTGAACTTTCTTTGTTTGAGACTCAGGTGTTGGTTAATACTCCCACAGGTATACTGGAGATTTCTTCAGGTTTGCTTGGGAAGCATAATATTTACAACATTCTTGCGGCTGTGGCGGTTGGGATTGCTGTTGGGGCACCCTTGGAGGACATTGTTAGAGGGATTGAAGAGGTTGATGCGGTTCCTGGAAGGTGTGAATTGATTGATGAGGAACAGGCGTTTGGGGTGATAGTGGACCATGCCAGTACTCCTGATTCATTGTCTAGATTGCTTGATTCTGTAAGAGAGTTAGGACCTCGCAGGATTATTACTGGTATGTTTGTGTTGTGTTACTGTTTCGCTTATTGCTGTGGAAGAATTCCTTTAGAATTTTGTTTTGGACATGAAGAAACTGTATCAAAGCATTTTTCTGTTGGAACGTTAAAACTGCATACTTCTTTAGATGCCCAGGAGTTTGAAGACTTGGATTGTTTTTGATTGAAATATGCTTTCTTTATCCTGCATCTCACAAGTTCTTGTTCATTCTGAAGTAATTGGATGCTGTGGTGAGGGCGAAAGGGGTAAGAGACCCGCTATGACCAAGATAGCAACAGATAAAAGTGAAGTCACTATGCTGACATCTGACAATCCCAAGAATGAAGACCCATGTATGTATTTTGAGCATTGAATACAGGCAATGTAGGATATTTGTGCATGCTTTAACTGACTTTGACATTCTTTTTTACTTCTTGTCCAGTGGATATATTGGATGATATGTTATCTGGGGTAGGATGGTCAATGCAGGACTACCTCAAATACGGAGAGAATGACTATTATCCACCTCTTCCAAATGGTCATAGACTTTTTCTCCATGACATTAGGAGAGTGGCTGTGCGAGCTGCGGTTGCAATGGGAGAGGAGGGCGATGTGGTTGTAAGTTAATGGAGCTCTATATACTATGTTTCACCCTCTAATGTAGAATTGAGTCGATGTCTTAGAAGTCACTTAATCGAAAACATCTTGGTGCTTGGTACTACAAAAGGGATTTTTGGTTTTGTTCTTTAGAAAAAAATGAAGAATATTAAGATTTATATCAGAGTGATATTTCCACGAAGAAGGTTTCTTAAGAGGTTGTAAAGAAAACCAACAAGGAAGACTATATTCAAATATGTTGATTAAGAGAGAGAAAATAGGGAGAGGCTTAACTTTAAGCATAATGAAGAAACATAGAAAAACTATTTGCCATGATCCGCAATAATAAGCCTTATTTTGCATGTGGGTGAATTATACTTCAACATTCAGCTTCATTATGGCACCTTTATGGTGTGTTTGGTAGGGAAGAATTAAATGTGCTGAAGTGTTTAAAGGGGAAGATGTAATTTGGAAATAATTTTAAAAATAATGGAACTTTACTATTTTTCATCTATTTTCACGCATCTGTATCTTTCTTCTCATCTTTTCTCTGTTTCTCTTCAACCAAACACCTTTAACTTAAATTTAATTTCTCATCTTTTTCCATTAATCCCTTTTATTTTCATCTATCATAGTTTCCTCCTCTATACCTAACGTACCATTAGTGATTCAATATAACCATGACTTAGTTCCGGCACAAATGTGGGAATTCTAGTTTGTGTCATTTTGGTAGCCTTGCATTGATTGAAGCCTTAACTAATCTTCCCCTTTTATTTTCTTACTTGCGGTGCGGTTGATGCAACACCATCCTACTATAAGTGCCCAAACCAAACTAACATTTCTTGATTTTTCGTGCTTTTTGGAGTTGAGAAAACTTCGTGTTTGCTGTCATTATAACGTATTCTATATAAGATTTATCTGAAAAATTAA